AAAGTATATTTATTCCCCACAAAAGGAGTCCTGGTGTGGCACTGTGGGTTAATGCCCTGGACTGCAAGGTCAGTGGTTCAAGCTCACCAGCTGCTCCTCGGAAACCCTGTATAGGGTCGCTATGGGTCAAAACGAATAGACAGTACTTAACAACAACCCCACAAAAAGTTAATGACTATATCCTCCAAGTCACACACATACACACTAAATCAGATCTTTAGATGGCTATAAAGCTCAAAGTGGAAATGTAGAAATAAAAGTTTTTACTGGGATAATTTTTCTCTAAGCAAATTAAAAAAAATATTTAGTAGTGAATATAGAATTGAGTGGCATAATCAAAAGAAAAACTGCCACAAAAGCAATGCTTTTCAATGGGGACAAAAATAAAATGTTTTAGAATACTTAGAAATGCTAGGAAAGTGGTTACAAATCAGGCTGCTAACCTCAAGGTCAGCAGTTCGAAACTACCAGCCGTTCCGCAGGAGAAAGATGGGCCTTTCTGCTCCCGTAAAGATTTACAGCCTTCGAAAAACCCTGTACAGGGTCGCTGTGAGTAGGAACCAACTCCACAGTACTTAACAACATCACCATTTCACAAAATGTACTCATCACCAAAGTAAATTTCACTTCTAAACCTAATATAAAATATTCATGTAAATGTACTTAAGTTTATAGCATGTTTCCAATTATGGTTTTATTAGTGGAAAAATGAGGCCATTTCTATTTTAGGATGAAATATCTTTGTTGTTTTTGTTAAGTGCTGTCGAGTCTATTCCGAATCACAGCGACCCTGTAGACGGGTTCCAAGGAGCAGCTGTTGAGTTTGGATTGCTGACCTTGAGGTTAGCAGTCCAGTGCTTATCTTTGAGTGCCACACTAGGGCTCTACTATCTTTATTAATCCCAAATTAAATAAGTGAAGTTAAGATACAAATAGAAACAAGAAACTTATTCTATACTTCAAGACACAAACCTTTCTCTTTTAGTCATTCAGGGAATGAATACCCACAGCCAGTAGGTTGATTACAAATTATAGTGATCCTGTAGGGTTTCCAAGGCTAGAAGTCGTTATAGGAACAGAAAATCTCAGCTTTCTCTTACAGAGTGGCTGGTAGGTTTGAACTGTCAACCTTGCGGTCAGCAGTCCAGTGCTTTTTGTTAAGCTCTGGCAAACTCTAGGGTATGCATAGTTTTGGACTTCCTGAGATTGCAGCGGAATAGAATTATCAGTACCTCCAAATCTACATATTTATATCTATTCTACTTTCAACCATCGTCTCTTTAGTTAAAAATGAAACATAGGTGAACAAGAAGTATAGTGAACTAAAAACTGAATTATCTAGGCTAATATCAGCAACTGGTTTTGTTTGTTCTTGGCTTAATATCTGTTATACTTCTTTCCCTTTGGTAAGCCATTCAACTTCTCTCAAATTTTAAGTGTTTGCATATCTATAAATGTCTTCTGTAGCGTAGTGGTTACGAATCGGGCTGCAAACCTCAAGGTCAGCAGGTCGAAACTACCAGCTGCTCCACGGGACAAAAATGAGGCTTTCTGCTCCCGTAAAGATTTACGGCCTCGGAAACCCTGTTCAGGGTCACTATGGGTCGGAACCGACCCGATGGCACTTAACAACAACAACATACTTAGCTTGGGGTCATGGTATGGTGCTGTGGGTTAATATAATGGACTGCAAAGTGGGTTTAAACTGCAAGCTCACCAGCCGCTCCTAGGAAGCCCTATAGAAGGTCACTATGGGTCGGAACCAACTCAACAGCGCTTAACAACAACAACAATACTTACCTTAGGAGTCTTGATGTGCCACTGTAGGATAAGCACCGGCAGCTCAAATCCACCAGATGTTCCTTGGAAACCCTGTACAGGGTCGCTATGAGTAGGAATCAACTCAATGACACTTAACAACACAACCTTTACATTTAAAGTGCCACAACTATGATCTAATTTCACTTAAATAATCTTTACAGCCAAATGGTAAATTAAGTATGTTCTTCTTGTTGTTAAGTGTTGTCGAGCTGGTTCCAACTCATAGCAAGTCTGTATAGGGTTTCCCAAAAGTAGCTGGTGGGTTTTGACCTGCCGATCTTGTGGTTCACAGTCCAGTGCTGATCCTACAGCGCCATACCAGGAGTCCAAATGTAAAGGCATTACGCTTAAAAAATAATAATAGTATACATAGTCCTCAAAGTATTAATCCAACTGAAAGTGAATTAAATGAATTGAAGACTACTAAAACTTTTCCTATTCAAAATAATATCAAAATTGTTTATTGAGAACTGTTCAGTCAATAAAAATAAATTAAAAGTCACATGTTTAGTATATATGGTGGTACTGATGGTTTTATGCCATCGAGTCACTTGCAACTCAAAGCAACCCTCTTTCCAAAGCTGTAAATCTTTACATTAGCAGAAAGCCTCATTTTTCTTCCAAGAAGCAACTGGTGGATTCAAACTACTGACCTTTCAGTTAGCAACCCAACGTGCCAATAGAGCTCCTTCCAGTATATATTGTTATTAGTGCCATCGAGATGGTTCCACAAACTTCATCTCTCATACTTCAGACATATTGTCAGGAAGGATCAGTCACTGGAGAAGGATATCATGTTTGGTAAGGTGGAGGGTCAGAGAAACAGAGGAAGACCCCCAATGAGATGGACTGGCCAAGTGGCAGCATCGATGGACCTTAGCATGGCAACAGTAATGAGGTTGGCCCAGGATCGGGCAGTGTTTCATTCTGCTGTGCATAAGGTCACTATGAATTGGTGCCAACTCAATGGCACCTAGCGATCCTATATAGGGTTTCAAAGGAGCAGCTAGGACATCTGAACTGCTGACTCTATGGTTCAAACCGACCTTGTGGTCCCGTGCTTTATCCTACAGCACCACACCAGGACTCCTCCAGTATATGTGGTGGGGGGGATGGTATGCCATGGAGTCGGTTCTGACTCAAAGCCACCCTGCATAGGGTTTCAGATGCTGTAAATCTTTACAGGAGCAGAAAGCCTCATCTTTCTGCTTATAGTTTTTAATTGCTGACCTTGAGGTTAGCAGCCCAATTCACAACCACTATTCTACCAGAGCTCCTTTCTAGTATATATAGAGCCCATAAACAGGATTTTTTCACTAAGGATTACAAGCAAAAGAGGTACTTTACACCAGTCTACAGAACAGGAGAAGATGAAAACATTTCCAGCAGCCATTCCTCTTCTTGTGGCTCGATTTCTGTTCTCTTAACTAGTTTTAGATTATTCAATCAGTATGCTGAGCAAATATTTCCAGAAACTGAACTATATGAAGAAGAACGCAGCACAGCAATAAGATAGACTAAAGACTCAGTAGCAACCAGATATAGGTTGCTGACACAACTTTGCTGGCTGAAAGTGAGGAGGATTTGAAGCACTTATGGATGAATTATACCTCAAAGTAAAGAGAACAAAAATCTTCGTAGCTGGACCCATAAGCAACATTATGACAAATAGAAAAGAGAATGACGTTAAGGATTTCATTTTATTTGGATTCACGATTAACATCCATGCAAGCAGCAGTCTAGAAATCAAGCAAGCTACGTAAACCAAAACCCACTGCCATTGGGTTGATTCCAACTCATAGTGTCCCTGCAGGACAGGGTAGAATTGCCCCAAAGGGTTTCCAAGGCTGTAAATCTTTAAGGAAGCTGACTGCCACATCTTTCACTCCCAGAGAGTCTGGGTTAAAACCACCAACCTTGCAGTTAGCAGCCCAACCCTCACTTAACCAATTCACCACCAGAAATCCTCAGAAGGAAAAGCCACAGTAGTAAACAGCTTTATTGTAACAGTTACACATGCTACACAGTTTGTACTAAATTAAGTATAGAGGAAAAAAAGGATTTAAAAACAAACAAAAAAGCTTTATATTCACACTCTTTATTCAAATAATTCCTTTTAAAACTTTCCAGAAGTTACTTCTAAAGTGAAGGGTTTAGGAGGAACCACTGCTCTCCTGAAAGATCATTTCATTCATTTCCATCATGCTTTGGTAAACATTAAAAAAAAAAAAAAAAAAATTTAACATGATTTAAGTACAGATAACTTCAAATACTCCCGTGAGCATTTCCTCTCATAAGATTTTGTGTGCTCACTTTTGTCATTTGTCCAGGTATACATATTAAACCTGTCAATAAGTTTAGCGGACAAACTATGTCAAAAAGGCTAATGAATTGAAAAATAATAATAATAATTGTATAGGAGAAGTGGAGGAGAGGGGCATAAAAGGCTAAAACTTAAGTTTGTTTCCACCAGTGCCCACCCCCACATTACAAGACTTGATTCAGAGATCTGAGTATGTTTTAACACGTCTACATTTCCTTGCCAAAATACACACTACACCAAGTCGAACACAGGCTGTATCTGTTAGACTGCTAGTGTAGCACACGGAAGTAGCGTCCTGTAATGAAAATGTGCAACGTGTCAATCGACTTGTGAGTTTCTACAGTAACAGCAACTGCAGCAAATCATCCTCTCCAACATGTGCGCTATAAAAACCTGAACTTGGCGATAGTGGTGGTGGTGAGGGTCCTTTAAATTCCTCCCCCCTTCTTTTTAATATGGGTGGGAGAGGGGGTCTGTAATCGACTAGGTAAAGAGACCCACCTCAAGATAGACAACGAACTTCTGGCAGCCGAGGGTCCCTTGGGGTTGGATGCTACTTCGAAGGCAAGAGGAATAAGTTTCATTCTCAGTAACCTCACTCCTTGACACTGAAAGATAGTCACTAACTATTCGCGGACAAGACAACCTGCGCTCAAATTCTTTACCCTATTTCTAAATACAAGTCCCCCATGAAACTGGCAGATTAAACCATCAGCAAGAGAGTCAAAGAAAACCCTAGGCTGGCCAGTGCCCCTAAAAGGTAAGGGATTTCCAATTACGGATTCCCATCTTTTCCAAAAATCCCAAATTATTCCTCAAGTGGGAAACACCTTGGAGCGTGCGGAGCAGTACTTACCCCCATTCACCCCAACGGACGGCTCCAGTTTAGCTCCGGCGATCGCCAGCACTATTCCGAACATGAACCATTCTTTCCTCATTCTCTCCATCAGCCCCATGTTTTTTAGGGTGGGTGGGTTTTGTTTATTTGTTTGGCTTTTTTTTTTTTTTTCAAACTGCAATCGCTTAATCCCCGGGGCGTTTCAACACTTTCCTCATCCCCTCCTGACGTACAGCAGAGCAAGTCAAATTGCCACTTGTAAACTAAAGACTAGAGGGTTGCTCCAGCGGCTTTGAGGAGAGCTGGGAGTAGTAGTATCCAGTGACAGGAAAGTCTCACCGAGCGCCGCCATCACTACCACTCAACGTATAATAAATGCGCAAATGGCGGGAGCCACAGCAGCATTTGCAGCGGGTTCCAGGAGCAGACGCTTTGAACCAGGAATCTTGGTTAGGCCGGCAGGGGCTGGTGATCAGGACTGGGAGGTAGGTAACTGCATAGACCTGACAGACCTGTCTCCACCAAGACCTGCAGCGCTTTAGGAGTGACTTGCACAGGAAACTGTGTAAGGTACAACCGCCTAGCTTCATCTAGGGTCCCGCTCCAACATTCTTTTTGGCATAGTGACCCGCGCTCCGGAAGCCTAGCCAAAGAAAAGTTCTCTTGGGGCTCAGCTATTTGCCTACGGAAAGAAATGGCTAGTGTGCGACTGGGACAGAGATTTCTCTGAAGGCAGCAGCGGCAGAAGCAGGAATTTTTTTTTTTTGAGGCGCGCTTCTTCGAGGCATTACGACGCATCCCCGACGCCAGCGTGACGTATGCGCAAAAGGCGGGGAGACCACTCTCCGCCTCCGGGTTCCCGGCTGAAGCCGCGGAATTAGACCATCTAGGCTTCCTAAACACTGTTCGTTTCTCACGGGTGGCGGGTCGGGGTGGGAGGTCTTACCTCCGAGCTGAGCTGAAAGGTGGTTGCCCGCCCGACACCCAACTTCGCAGAGTCTCCGCCGCCCCTCGTCCGATGCTGCCTGGAGAGGGCTGGCCGCACCTCGCTGAGTCGATCGGCTGCTAGTGGGTTCTCCGCCCCAAGACCCCTCCCCACTGATCCTGGGGACGCAAGAGATCCGACCCCTGTAGGAAAGCTGGGGTAGATCCTACTTTCAGGCTCAGTTGTGAGTGCTTAAGCCTTCACATTCACCGCTATCCTGCCAGCACGTGGGGCCTTCCTTACCGGACCCAAGGGCGCTTGGCACAGGCGCTGGCCATCCTCTGAGTTGACCAACTAAAGCAGCAGGAGAACTTTGAGAAAGGACTAGGGACCCCAAGGCAGAAGCAGGGGGGCTCCTGCCTTCTATTGTCCTTATATTGTCTGTTTCTCCCTTAAAAGTGTTTCTCTAGTGACAAGTAACATTAATAATTTCATAAATGAATGGACTTCTACTGGTAGGGCCTGCCAGGAGCATTAACTCCCCATTGTTAAGTGCCCTGGAGTGGGTCCTGAGTCTTAGCAACCCTGTGTACAGTTTCTGAGGCTTCACATTTTCTCAGGAGCAGAAAGACTCATCTGGCATCTCAAAAATAAAATGCAGTGTGACATTTTGAAGTAACTTGACTTCTGCCACTACATTAGTTAACTATGAGATTTAAGGTTTGGAAGGGACTTCTGGGATTGTTTAGTGATGCCAGACTTTGATTCAGAATTTATTCAACACTGGAAAGAGACTCATCCTGGAATTTCCTTTTTTATTTAGCTTTATCTTGAGAACAAGACTTGCTGTCCAACAACTAAACCGTCTTATGCAATTGTGCTGTAAATTGTATGTTAGATAATACTGAATATCATCTAATATAGTCAGGCAGCATAAAGAAAAATAAATCTCAAGATATAAAGAACACAGATGGCATTAAATACTTTAACCTGAAAAGACTAAAGAAGCATATGAGATGTGATCAAATCTGATGTTAATTGTCAGGAAATCACAAAATAAGTGGAGATACATGAAAGATCATTTATAATTTCTTATAGTAATTTCTTCTTAAATTAAAGATTCATATATCTCAGTCATTGAAGGAATGCTTTTGTATTAAGAGATGATTCAGTATTACACTTACAGAAATTGAGCTGCTTTATTTTTATGGCTGTTCACAAATTTAGGGCAGAATTGATCTCATGGAAAGGAATTTTGTTTTTAATGATACAGGAATATAGGGGAGCTATATCGTATGCGGAATTCTGGGTTGGTGCTGTGGGCTAATGCATCAGACTGCAAAGTCGTTTGAACTGCAACATCAGTGGTTCAAGCTCACCAGCTGCTCCTTGGAAACCCTATACAGGGTCATTATGGGTCAGAACTGACTCAACGGCACTTAACAACATATTGTATGCAGTGGTGGTTACATACAGTAAGCACTGGGCCGCAAACCACAAGGTCTGCAGTTTGAGCCTGCCACCAGTTCCATGGAAGAAAGATGAGGCTTTCTGCAACTGAAACAAATTTAAAGCCTCAGAAACCAGGGTCACTCTAAGTAACAACCAACTCAAAGGCTCTTAACAACAAAAAGGAATATAGGAATCCTGGCGTGGCACTGTAGGATCAGTGCTGAGCTGCTTACTTGCAAGGTCAATAATTCAGACCCTTCAACCGTTACAGGATCTCTATGAGTCAGAACCAATTTGAGGACACTTAACAAGAGCAACAAAGGACTAAACTGCACTGTGAATTGTATTCTGTTAATGCATGTCTTCATTTGCTATGACTCAGCAAGTACACAAAACTGAATGATTTAAAACAGAAATGGATTCTTTCCCTGGAGGCCAGAAGTTCAAAATCAAGGGAGCTGTCAGGTTGCTTCCCCTCGAAAGGATGCAGGGGGAAATTTTTCCTTGCCTCTTATACATGTTAGTGCTATTGGCATTCCTGGAATGGCATTGTAAGATAAGCACTGGATTGCTAACCTCGAGATCAGCAGTTCAAACCCAGCAGCCACTCAGGATCCCTCTCTAAGGCCACTATGAGTTGGAGCCTACTCAATGGCACTTAACAATGGACATGCTTTGGTTTCCTTAGCTTGTGGCCACATCACTCCAATCTCTGCCTCTTACTTCTCATTTCCTCTGTATGTCAGCTTGTGGCTATTTCACTCTGGTTTCTGTATCTTCATCACATTGTCCCCTCTGTGCCATTTTTGTGTATCTCTTTTAAGGATACTTGTCATTGGATTTAGGGCCCACTTTGAAAATCTAGGATGTTTTCCTCATTTCAAGATCTATAATTATACCTGCAAAGACCTATTTTTCCAATTAAGATAACAATCAGATTCCAAGGGTGTGGACTGAACTTATCTTTTGTGGGATCATTCAACGTACCACAATGTCCTTCCCTGCTCATCTTTCTTCTGTGACTCCCATTCTTCTACTCTTATCTCTTTTCTCTCTCATTCATCTCGTTCTTGTCATTTTTGTCTGTTTCCTGTACCTCTGGACATTTTTCTCTGTTTCCTGTACCTCTTAAAGTTTTGTTTTGTTTTTGTTTTCTCTTTGTCGCCCTGCTGCTTCCCTTGACTTCATCCCAACTGAAATACATACACAAAAGCATGGTGCTCTAAAAAGACACATGACTGTCTATTCAATAAATATGTATTTACTAAACAAATAACTTAATCTTAAAAGACCATACTTCCAAACAAGGGCTAGGATTCACAGGTAACAAAGATTAAAACCAAAAGACCCATTGCTGTCCAGTTAATTCTGACTCATAGGTACCCTATTGTTAAGTGCCATCGAGTCAGTTCTGACCCATAGCAGCCTTGTATGGGGTTTCTGAGGAGCGACTGGTGAGATTGAACCACCAACTTTGTGGTTCAAACTGACTTTGCAGTCCAGCACACTAACCAACAGTGCCACACCAGGACTCCATAGCTATCCTGTGATGGTGGTGGTGGTGATATGCCGTGGAGTTGGTTCCTACTTGTAGCGACCCAGGAAAGGGTTTCCAAGGCTGTAAATCTTTACAGGCACTGAAAACCTCATCGTTCTCCCGTGGAGCAGCTGGTAGTTTTGAACTGCTGACCTTGTGCTTAGCAGCCTGACTCGTAACCACTATATGACAGTGTAAAACTCCCCCATCGGTTTTCATATCTGGTACAGCGCTGCAGGATAGTGCACTGGGCCACAAGGTCAGTTCAAACCCACCAGACACTCCTCAGAAACCCCACACAGGGTCAGTATGAGTGGAAACCAACTTGAGGGCACTTAACAACAGCTTTCTTTACTGAAGCAGACTGCCACACCTTTCTCCCATGGAACAGTTGGTGGGTTTCAACCACCCATCTTTCCATTAACAGCCAAGTGGTTAGCCATTGCATCAGCAGGAATTAGGACTCCAGCATATTTTTTGTGGGGACACAATTCACTTCATAACAACAAGGCACATATCATACAAAACTTTCTGTGTTATAAGTAAAGATTCCAATTTTATCAAATACTGTAAGAAGCCACTGAAAAGTTATAAACCAGTGTACACTTTACATTTTAAGAAGAACTGGAGGTGGGTTGTGGGGACTGACCGCTAGTCCACCCTTGGCAGGAGTGGCTGCTTCATTTACAGAAAACCATTATAAAAAGCCAGTGTGGATACAGGAGGAGGTCCTTTTGAGGAAAGCATTAATAATCCAGATTTACCAAACTGGAGCAATGAAATTGTTGATGACTGACTGAATAATATGGACTGGAGTGGTCAACAGAAGAAAGCAAATACGGTCATCAGAAAAGAATAAGAAAAAGTTTGTGGAAGGTGACAAAAGTTTAATAATAATATTTATCCAGAGCCATCACCAGGAGTTGGAAGGTGAAAAATAAAGACTCCACATATGTTTCCTCAGAATAAATATAAAACTCAGAGGTCTGTTCCAAAGCAGGCAGAAAGAGAAACTTAAATAGTGGGTAAACTTCAGTGACTTAGATTAGGTTTATGACTTATGTTCAAAATCAAGAGTTTGGGAAATACATGAAATATTTTAAATAATTTTCCTGAATATAAAAATTGAGCTGCTACTTTTTGTTGTTGTTCCTTTAAGTTTTTGTACATATGAAAGAAATTTGAACAGATGATCCAGGATGATGATACTATACCAATATGTTTTGGACAGAAATGAGGTCTTACTCTAAACTTGAAGACAAGTGTTTCTGAACTCTCATTATTATTTTATTTGATTAACTTAAATGATTTTATGAAACTGGATTTTACATATTAGTAACTGAATACTATTATACTGGGAAATTGAAAAATCTAGTTTGTCATTGACTAAGGATTATCTCAAGTTTAGAATAAAATGGGTTTT